ACGCCCTGCGCCCCTCCGACCCTAGCTGGGGCGAAAACATTTCGCTCGTACTCTTAAGCATTCGAAACAGCATCAAAGCTGACCCGCAATGTGCAACAGCAGACTTGGTTTACGACAAAAAGCTAAAGTTGCTAGGAGATTCCGTTTCGCCTCCCGTATCGTCGGGTATGCCAACGCTTAACTTTGCGTCCTCCCTAGCTCAACGCATGCGTTCACTACGCCCGACTTCTCCCCGCGAGCAGACCAGTGACGCGCACATACACAGCGGACACTCAACTTGCACTCAAGCAGCGCGGCGCCCTCATCAGCCTCTCTATACTGGCCCTTTCAGAGTCCTGTAAAGGACTCCGAAACCTTTCACTTTAGACCAGAATGGTCACAGAACAATGGTGTCTATCGACAACCTAAAAGTAGCATTCTTTGACGAACCAATTGCAACTCATCCTGCTGCTATCACACAAGCATCCGCACCCGCCGCGACTTCCCAAGCATTGGATGGCCCGACACCTTCCGTTCCCCTTCACCCTCAGCCAACGCCGCCTCATACCCGAGCAACCGACAGACGCGGTAGACAAGTAAAAGTCCGGCCCGTTTTTCAGATTTTGTAAACGTTTGCTACTATCATTAACACGCCATTTTCGACTTTAGTGGTTCTCGTGCGTCTTGTTCACAAATATATTGCAAAATCGACAAAAAGCCCATGATATAATAAAAACCTATAAAGCGTGTTTGCTTTTATAATGCATGCCATGTTCCCTCTCCGGCGTCAAGCCAATTCCATCTCCCCTTGCCCACCCCACTGAGTTCTACCTTCCAGAAACTCAACCGCAGAGCTGCCAAGGCAACCCTGGAGTGACTCGCCAACCGGCTCAACGCAACCCCCGAGTAACTCGCCAGCCGATCCAAGGCCGCCGGTGGCCGTGGACAGCCACGAACGGTTTGGTCCCTAAAAGCCCAGCTGACGGGGACGCCGGATTGCTTCGTGGGACGAAGACGCCAAGATTTCTTCGTGGGCCGAGGACCATTGACTGGAGTGCGGTGGGGGTGACAACTCCCAAGCGCACCATCGGGTCCGCAGCAAAGGGCAGGTCCTGTCTTCCATTATTCTGGTCTATCCAGTTTCTTTGCAGTCCTACCAGCCCACCCCGACGGCCCACCGATGCTGCACCCTGGTCCACACGAGCATAATAAATAATAACTAACAAAAGCCTGGACCCTGCAAACTCTGCTACACACCCCACTTGGGAAGTTCTTTCTCAAGACCATGCAACCAATAGCACCCATCCTCACCATCTGTTTCCTCCCACTAACAGCTCCATCGAAAGCTTTCATCCTTCAGCCTCCTAGGAGGCGGCCCTTGTAGTGCACCGGAAACCACGCTCATGCAATATTTTGCAAAATTTGATTTTGCGATTGTTTTAAGCTTCAGAACATCCACTTGTTTTACTGACTGCACATCGGTTGACACAAAACGTTTTGCTGAGTAACTTGCTGCACTGATTCTCCCACAGGTTGATTCGCTCCCTATTTTTGAAGCCTGCACCATATACGTTGGGTTCAGTCGCCTCAACCTTCGATACTGTCCCGTAGTTAACACGTCGCTTCCGTGTCATTTGTTACCGACAATTATCCCAGGCTCCACGCAACAGTCTAGTGTTCGGTGTTTATGTTATCAGCATGCAGCCATCTATTAATTTCTTGTTTTCCATTGTGATTGCAGGCCTATTGCGTCCGACGTACAGGTCGGACACGGAAGCCCTATGAATCCTCGGCCGAACGCGAAAGTGTTTATCCAAGTCGTAGATGCTCAGCGTTCACTGAAGAACACAAAGCCAGCAGTGGAAACGGTTTGCACATTGTTCGCTCAACCGATACTTGTCTATCAAACGCTTGAACTTATTGCATTGTGCGTAGTATAGCAGTTACTTCCCACATAAACTAAACAAATTGTACCATGCGTCCGGCCGAGAAATACACGGGCATCCCGCTCCGGTGTGTATTATGTCGAGGAAGGGGACAACAATGTGAAGGAAACACCCAAGGGGCAGAATGATCCTTCCAAAGCCACATAGCAATGGAACACTGAACAGAACGTGACGACGAATGGAACAGCAAGGATCAGTGGCTTTCTAACCGAGGTACAACGATTTCTTTACCAAGAGGCTCCTTAGAAGGTCACACAGATGTTGCGGAGAGAGCTTACAGCTAGCAATCAAGCGTTACAACAGTGGCGACGGAGATGTTAAACAATCATGTCCATTTCATTCGAGCGGATGCAGTCCCTACTTCAGCAGCGGCAGCTTCAGTATGAAAAATCACAGCGGCAGTTAATTCAGTCGTTATCAGAGAAACTCAACATTCAAGTGGAATGGGAACCGGAACCGCGGTTAACATCCCAGGAAATTGTATCTGAATACCACAAGCTGCTCAGTTTGAATCGTGACCCAGAAATGATTACAACTTCAGAGCACAGAGAAGAACCCCAGCCCTGTCATACAGTCATTTGTGGTCAAAATGTGAATGGAAATGTGCCGAACCGGAAGCCCCCGACTGCATTATGGTACGGTGATGGGAGACATTCAGTGAGAAATTGCGCCCACAAAAATGATCCTTGTCCAAAGGCGCACCACTTCAGATGCTCGTATACTCCAAGATTACCATCGAGTTCCAAATACAAAAGAGACAGGTATCGCGGCACAATGAGAGAGACGGTGTTTGCAGTATTTCGTACACACTTTTCAGGGAAGAGAAAATACCCCACAGTGAAACACAAGAAGGTCCCGAAATCGCTGCTGCCAGAAACGTTGCATGCTCTCAAGAGCCTTTCTCGTAGATCCCGGGCGAGACTTGGCCCATGGTCAGTCAAACCTGCAGTTCTAACGGTTCAACAGGTATCAGAGGAACCTCTGCAGATGAAAGGAAGAATCGCCTGTGAACGCAGACTCAATGCTTTGCTACATTATGGGAAAATCTACCCAGTATACTGTACCAACTTTAAGCTGCACGGAACCAACCGGATTACGAAGTTAGATTTGCTCAAACAGTCAATGATTCATGTGAGTTCGGTAACGACTGTTACTCTCTGCAATATTGGTCGTATCTGTTCCAAATTCTTATGTCTTTACCAGCTACCAGTATGGACGACACTGATGTCTTGGCCGGAGCCCGAACCCCCATAGTTGCAGATCCAAGTGGACCTAGGTGGATTTCCAAGTCGGAAGAGCTGTGACCTAAAGGTAACCCAATTTTTAAGAGAGGGTGGTGTCACGGAGAGGGCTTACAGCTAGCAATCAAGCCGAGAGCAGTGCCGTAAAAGTGCATGAATCTGCAATTAGAGATCGAACACGACTATAGATCAAAATGCGAATTGATGCGGAATCAGAGGCAAGTTGGAGCACGAAATTGAAACATTTGAACTGTGTTAATTAACGCCAATTAGCATCTCCAGTATTGTTGTTTAAGTAGTTGCTCACAACCTATTTATTGGGCCATGCTGTCATGCAATATGCCTCTCTGTCTACCGATCCTTGGTCCTCCGCGTTCCCTTGGTGGGCTGGGAGCGTAACTGAGCAGCCAGACAGTCGCAGTTTCAAAGGGTAGCTAGCAGCAGTAGAACAGTTGTCAGAGGTGGAGGGCAGAGGTAAAAAAGCAGCACTTCTACAACAGACATGATACATATAAATCATTGAGGTAAACTCGAGTATTTATTAATTATAAAGGAAACAAGCGCAACTGCGACCAAGTCCACATCTCACCCCAAGTATATATGATATGTTGACAACGACGAGGAATATTACTTCGCTATCCTACGGGCGAGTAAGGTTAGTCGTCGGAGTTGATCGGTGCTGAGAATTATCAGATAATCCAGACGGAATTATTACTTCTGAGAACCAAACATCCGAATCAGGCACTATGCGTGCTTATACATTGTAGAGGCCGCTGATAGTCGGTAGGCAAGAAATGGGCGCCCACGGAAGATGAAGAGTAAGCTAAATGTCACAAGAGTTGTGGAGCAAATGATATCCCAATAACGAAGGGCTCAATATTAGCAGCTACTTTCCTACTTACAAAACTGCAAGTTTTGTGCTTTGCGTGTAGGTTCGTTTATGATTAGTCAAGCATTTGTTTAAATTTACTACATATCATAATTACGGATGCATAATTTAGATCGGCTTACGAACGTTACCGGGACCGTGTGAGTGCACATGGCACGTTCACTTGCATTTGAATTACTTCTTGTTCTCCAGTACAGCTTAAACTGAATCAATGAAACCATTTATCCAAACAAAAATATTCCTTGCAGTATTTTAATATTAAACACTTTCCTAATAATAATGAGTTAATGTTATTAATTAATGTTAGGGTCACGGAACCTGAATTAGTTTAGTTAAGCGTGCGCGCCAAACCAGAGCTACTTCATTTACAGAAGTACAAGTATTTAATAAGGTGGATAGAGCGATTAGAACCAAGTTTAAAGGTTGCACTTGCCTGCCATGCCAAATATGGTCTCCCGCCTGCTTACCACCTCACAAAATAAACATCAGCTTATGGAGATGCAGAGGCGCGGTCCAAAATATATATCAGATCTTCGGGATCTTCCATACATTCTACGACTTAAGATTTTGCTCTTGTTTTCCAGGGAATATCGTTGCCGTCGCGGATTACTGCACCAGACGCAACCTAAGGAGAGTGCTTGGAAGTGAGTTGCAGCAGTTCTAGCTACGTATAGGCATCTTGGTCACAAATGGAAATTATTTAAGTCGAGGACACATCGCGCCCGTCCGCAAGCTGCCCTATCTTCCAGAGTGGTAAATGATTGGAACAATACCGAAACACCTCATTGACTCGCAGACAAGAAATTTTCCTGCTATTGCTTGACACCAATGCAACTCACTTGGCAGGCTCCTGCTACTCTAAATTCAAAGGTAATGCTCACGGAAGGAGTAACGTTTCCTGACAGAAGCACCCACTATGTGATCATTCGGAAACGAGGGAGCTGACAATGGATCTCGCTCCTGCTCTCAATATTCCAACGTGTCCCATGCTAATTTGTACTGCAGCACTCCCGCCTGAAAAATCCTGTGGCGACCTTGCGCAATCACGCGCTTCCAATGTTCGCATACTTAAGTAAAAAGGTAGTTAAGGTTATAGATCTATGCTTTTATTTTGCAGATTGCAATTCCGAACAACAAGAGGTTAGTTTCCGTTGCGTGGAGTAGAGAACATGGGTACATCGCTTGTGGTGGTGAGGATGGCATGTTGAAAGTCTTGAAACTGGAGGTGCAAAGCGACTGTAAAACTAAAGGACTGGCAGCACCGGCGAATTTAGTTATGAATCAGACTCTGGAAGGCCACACAGGTTGTTTATCTTATTGAACAATTAGTAACAATCAAAGGAGAGATTAGATATTTAACTTGGAATGAAAAGTTTAGAAAGCTTACAACATCGGACCAGATGGGGCTTATAATTGTTTGGATGTTATACAAGGGATCCTGGTACGAAGAAATGATAAACAACAGAAACAAGTCCGTTGTTAGTTGTATGAAGGTATCGTATGTAGCCCTTGACTAATTTGTGCAAACGTTTCAGTGGGAGCCAAGTGGTCAACGGATTTGTATTGTTTATGAAGATGGTGCCGCTATCGTTGGTTCCGTGGATGGTAACCGGCTTTGGGGAAAAGAGCTAAATTGCGGAAATTTACTCGCGGTCGAATGGTCGGCAGACAGCTCCATGATCCTCTTCGGGCTTGTGACTGGGGAGGTTATCGTCTACGATTACGCTGGAAACTACTTGGTAAAAATATTTTAGTTTGCTCTGTTAAGGGATTCTATAATGGATTCAGTGTTAGCGCAATTGATACAAGCATTTGCCAATTTGCCGTAGAAAATGCTCCTTTATACATTTCACTATGTATCTACCAACACCACAAAGATCCTGTATCCGATTGGTTTTTAAGCTGTCAATTTGTGTATTAAGAGTTTTACTATCTATATTTTGCTTGTTGCAAAGCCTACTGCGTGGATATTATATTATTCTTTTTTTAACCTGTTTATGTTTGCATGGTACCTAATAACGATTGCATTGATATCGTGAATTTTTAACATCTACAAACATAATATTGACTGTAATCACGAAGCAATTTATCAGTTTAACAATCACTCTTTGGCCCTACTGTTTGCTTCATTATGCTGGCTATCCTAAGATATTCTATTATTGCGCTGACCTGTGTTGTTATAGACAATTCTTTGATTGCAGTAAACAGTGCACTACATCTACTTCAGTAACAAAGTGCTTATTTAACTTTGCTTGTACGGTTTGGAGTAAACAGCATCACACTGGTATATAGTTGGGCTTATTAACCATCATTATTGGATCACTTACTGGATAATGGAGGGCGGAAGGATCCTTTTTCAGCTCCATCTCTTCCAGATTGCTGCAGAAATGTGGCAATCGTTGCGAGACGGAGCTTCGCAGGAGGCCGTAACAGTTGCATTAGAAAGTGCGGGGTTCCGAACTATTCAGTACGTGAGAGTCCAACAGTGTTTTGAAACATTTCTCCATCTATGCATAAGTATGTGACTAGGCAAGCGGTTCTATACATTGACCACGCGGGTTGGTATGGCATTATTATTCCACATTCTGCGGCACTTCGGTTGCAGTAATTTCCATTTATGAACTTTATTCTTAGGTCCAGCGCTGAAATGAAAGAACTCCTGCGGCTCTTTCCCCAGCTTTCTTCTAAGGATACGTCGAGTGAAAATTTAATGTCTACGGTTTCGACGGTAGTCCAGAGAGAGCAGGTTTAACTGTTGGAGTCTGAAGGTTATTGTATGTCACGTAAATCAGAAACAGCTTTAAAGCTGCGCCGTCGGCCCTTTCCACTCCCGTTGCATTGGAATCTGGTGAGAGGATCGGAAGCAGGAAAACCGTGTTCAAAATTTGGACTTATGTGCGAGGTGGATGAGTCGGGCTCAAGGGATCGACCATAGATCTGACACGTCGACGCGGAAATGTGCTCAACCACTGTTCCGAGGAACGGAGGGTGTAATCAATCAGGAACAGATGATGAAAGTGGATTTAAATAAAGGTGTTTTAAGATAACATCCCTGTTGTGATCCACGTTTTTCAACGTGTAACGTGAAGGTTATTGTATGTCACGTAAATCAGAAACAGCTTTAAAGCTGCGCCGTCGGCCCTTTCCACTCCCGTTGCATTGGAATCTGGTGAGAGGATCGGAAGCAGGAAAACCGTGTTCAAAATTTGGACTTATGTGCGAGGTGGATGAGTCGGAAGAACACCGAAGTTATGCAACAGAGGATTTTTCGTATATCATGAAACATCCTGTACTTAGCAGCGACCCTCTTCAAGGCATCTTGAGTTGATCTTAGGTTGGAAGACACGAGTACGCTGAGGTAGTTTTCCTGATTGGCAAATTTTAGTAAAGAATCGGTGATGTGGTAAGCCACGAATGGTGTAGTCGCTCCACTAGGTAGAAGAGTGCACTTGTGGTGATTCATAAGCAACCGCCACTGGCTCGACAAAAAGTGCAGGTTATCAAGCGTCATTTGTACTCGATCAGCATCTTCTGTGCTACCTCCATCTATAGCCATACATCTGCATATATTCGACAGTAAAGCTGCACCACGGACTGCAAGTCGTTAACAAAGAGGTTGATGAGCTCGGAGCCAAGGTCAGAATCCTGGGGGACGCCGTCGGACACTTTTCTAGCATTAAAAACATTGTATTCAGGTATACTTGCATGGAGCGACCGAGCAGAAACTTGGAAATCCAGAAAAGAGTACGCTTAATGAGGCCGATTCCCGGGAGTTTAAAACTTATTCGCTCATGCTCGACCTTGTCAGAAGCTTCACTAAAAGTGACAAACACTGCAACCAAGCGTTTCTTGTGCTCCACTGATTGGATGCACTTCTCTTTCGCTACAAGCAAACTCGGAGCGAGCCCTACAAAAACTATGCTGTGCACAATAGATGAGATCCAGTTCCTAGATATGAAGGTGAAGGGCCCGCTTTAGAATCCCTTCCATGAATTTACATAATTCCAAATTCAAGCTGGATCCTGTCGATTTCCATAACCTAGTGGTAACGAGCATGTCTCATAAACTTGCGGCGCAGGTTCCAATCTGCGTAGGGGTGAGCGTCCTCGAGGTATACTTGGCTTGCGTGCGACTGTTGGTGGTCGCAAGGCGTACAGTTGACACAATATTTTGTTTTTTATATGTGTTTGAAAATGCCCACTTTCTATGGACTCGGATGACGTCCGGGCTCAAGGGATCGACCATAGATCTGACACGTCGACGCGGAAATGTGCTCAACCACTGTTCCGAGGAACGGAGGGTGTAATCAATCAGGAACAGATGATGAAAGTGGATTTAAATAAAGGTGTTTTAAGATAACATCCCTGTTGTGATCCACGTTTTTCAACGTGTAAGGAGCAGAGGGCATAACATTGACAAGGTAAGGCGTTTCTTTCAAGTAAACCAAAAGTTATTGCTATGAGAGAAGATTGGCTTTTTCTTCATCTTTGTGAACTAGAGCTGCATGCTCACATGAACCCGCTGCAGGTATGCCACTGCTGGCTCTGATGCTACGGTTGAAGTATATAAACAGCGCTTTGGGGTTCGCTCTAGAAAAGGTAACAAGTGACAACTCGTGTTGTTGGTGTTTCTCTGCTGCTTTAGGATACACGCATTCCTAACCGCTTTGTATCGCGACTAATCAAGCTATGCTCGCGTAATCTTGTAACAGGCTCACAGTTTAACACTTTTATTCAATAGGGGTCTCAGTTTCCTACCAATCCATGTTTGGTCTCTACAGCTGGATCTCCTTTTGGAGATGGGGACGACGTGTTCAATAATCTACGTCAGCTTAGAGTACAGAAGATTTCACGCATCGTCAACATTAAGATGTTTCGGAATGTTAAAAGCCATAACGCTTGCGACCATTTTGAGACCAGGTATATCTGCGCGTCAGAAATTCCGCCGGGACTCACATGACCTGTAACGGTTGAAGTGATGTGTCCATTGAAATTAGATATCTTATTGATTGCTTCTACCACAGGTTGTAGAACTTTGAGATTCGGGACACCTGACTGAGCTGGGATGAGCACTTGGTCCAGAATGTGCTGCCTATAATCTGCATACTTGCGGGTTAGCATAGTGACACGCTTCAATCATTTGCAATCTTGGACGGTTTCAAGTACGGTAGTATCAAAATAATTAGGTTGACAGCCGCAAAGAAGTAAGTTCCAACCAATATAAGGGTTATTTACACCCCCCACGATAACACTGTTTTTCCAGCACCGTTTTCGTGATCGAATCGATAAGATGAACTCGGTAACCAAAATGCGCTTTGTAAACAACACATGTCTTGAAGAATCAGCCTCCGTCATGAACGCGGCACCAGTTGTCATCGAAATCACCATCATAGCCACCACTAGTTTTAATCATATAGTCCTTGAGATCCGCCTTCCGGTAATGTTACACTGCCACCTGACCTCCATCCAAGGTGGTCCGCTCGAGAGACACTTTATCCGAGCATAGACACCTCCGAAGCTATGGTGTCTGTAAACAGCCAGGTTTGGGGCAACGCTATCGGATCAGGATGGGTATTTGAGGCAGGCATCTGAAGCTTTTCAGGTTTAATTCTAAGACTGCGTACATTAGCGTAAAGCACACGCATTCCGTTTCCAAACCCTAGTGTACTGGGCTGACGAAAATTGACCTCCAACGTTTCCACGGGGTTTTCTGAATTGCGCGAAAATCCACAATGTGGAGTTTATCTCACTATTCGCTCGGTGGAATTGTAGCTCAGTAACGTTTCTTTTCATCTTAATCAGACGTTCTGAAGCAAGATCTCTCAAGATCTAAACCTGCTCAACTTTAAAGTATGGGGTTCGCCGGAGGATGAACCGATATTCTTCTTTGCTTTGGCACCTAGTCTTGAGGGGCTTATCTCGGAAATATCGTTTTGCTCTGACAAATGCCAGAGATTGTGTGTATCCTAGATTTACTTTCATCAAATAAAATGATCATCCGCTCCAGGAACACTTGTTCATCCAGCATCCTTTCCGTAGAGGTGTCTTTGATGTAATCTGGCGCGTTCACAATGATAAGACGACGGTCACGAGATGCTGGTAGAACGCGCCCAATGATTTGCGGCTAAGGTGGGGACGCAATGTTCTTGCTCAACTTTTCCACCTTGTCAATTTTGTCGAGAACAGTTTTCATCTGGTAGTGGAAGAATGTAAGCTTGGGTTTGGACAGACTTTAACTGGACATTACAAGTAGTTGGGTTCCGACCACGTGGGAAAGTGACATTTTTCCTCACCACGGTAGCGTATGTCTGAGTCGTGAGATGACTGGACAGAAGGTGCGGCACAGGCTCTAAATGAGGAGCAGATGTGGCTGGGCTTCGCCTATCCGCGGGTGTAACTGAGCCGAAATTACTTGTGGCCGGGAAGTATGCAGAAACAAGACAGTCTTTGTCGGAGTACAATAAGAGCACGAAGGTGGTAGTCCTGCGTGGAGCTGTCCACTATTTAAGTAAATACCTAGTGGTTACTGGAACCTGTGATAGTCAAAATTGTGTATTGTTGCATGGGCTCATATAGTTCAGGACAAATGTCGCAGCATTCAATATTCATCCATCCGTCACACTCAGAGCACTGTGCAGTTTTCGAACGCGGTCACACATTTTTTGCAGCCTAGACGTTTGGATGCCATAGCTAAACTTTATCTATGGTCCGCAGAAACAACGAGAACTGGCTGGTATTACCCATAAAACGTTTTG